GCTGCTATGCCATTCTACGCGCACACACACACATATGTATAGTTGATATTTTCTATGGTACTTTTAAACATAATGTAGTTTCTCTATTTTGATTGTTATGTTATCTGAGAACATGATTGCTGATTTCATTTTTCTGATTTCATTTGAAATCATATTTTGCCCAGGACCTTTCTTTTAACTCTGAATCTATTTCAAGTTTCACGTGTATCTCTTATAAACATGTTAGATTCTGCTTCCTAATACATTCTGCTACCTTCCTCTGTCCTAGGGGTGAATTCATCCCATTTCCTCTTTGCCCTCTCCACCCCACCCCCACCCCAACCCCATTTACAAAGAAGAAGATATTGAAGAATATGCTCATCTCTAATGATCTATATTTTATGCATTGTGCTTCTATTGTATCACAATGTGCTGCTCTTCCCCTCACCTAGACTTAGCTCATAGATTGTTGACCTTTCTTTCATTTCTCTGTCCACCTCCTTCATGCTTCAGACTTCCAAAAAGGGATTTTCTTTTGCTTAAGGCTAATCCTTTCAGGGCAGCTAGGTGGTGCAGTAAATAGAGCTCTGGCCTTGGAGACAGGAGTACCTGAGTTCAAATCCAGCCTCAGATACTTAACACTTACTAGCTCTGTGACCTTGGGCAAGTCACTTAACCCTGATAGCCTCACCCCCCCCAAAAAAAAGCAAAAAAAAAAGACTAATCCTTTCCTGAACCTGCCCCTCCCTCTTAATCCCCAGGTCCCCTCTCCTAGTGCCCTTCCTTGTTGAGTTAATAAAATGCTGGATTCTCTCTGTGTGTATATTCAACTCTCCTCGGATTCAGATGAAAATGAGGTTCCTATGTAGCCCACTTCCCCATCCCTTCCTCCCTGTCTGCCGTCTTGTCACCGAACACTGCTTATGTGAGATTTCCACATAAATTGAAAATTATGTCAATTGCCATCTCCTTCCTTCCTCTTTCTACTTAAATATATTCTTTTTCCCCCTTAAGATCATTAAAATACAATAAAAATGTAGCATCCCCTTGGTTTACTTGATTATTTTTCATTCTGGTGCCCTTAATAAACCCTTGCTGGAGTAGTTTTGAGAAAAGGAAAGGGAATAGGCATTTTTAGAGTGCCAGGTACTGTGCTAAAGGCTTCCTCAAACAGCACTGGGAGGTGGGAGTTATTATCCCCATTTTACAGTTGAGGAAACTGAGGCAAACTGAGGTTAGGTGAGTTGCCCAGGGTTACAGCTAGAAGCTTTAAATTGAGATCCTCCTGACCCCAGGTCCAGGGCTCTCTCCCCTGGGCCACCAGCTGCCTCTGAGCAAAGGTAGGAAGATAAGGTGCTTCCTCTCACACCTGCCATCTTTCAGTAGCTCATGCTTAGCACCATACTAAGGGCTGGGGATGCAAGATCAAAGTCAAAGAGGTCCTGCCCTCAAATAGCTTACATTCCAGGACAGGTGGGGAGGACCACTCAGACACATAAAGATATAAAAAACAAACACATGACTGCAATGAAGGCCTCACACGGAAGGTGATGTGCAAATTGAGCTTTGAAGAAACCTACAGATTCTAAGGCACAGAGATGGTGGTGGATTGTCATGAGAGAGGAGGCAAGGTCAGTTGGAAACATTGTGAAAGGCTTCAGGTGACAGAGACAATGATAAAAAAGGGAAGTCCCCTTCAAAATACCTTTAAAAATCATAAAATACCAGGATTCAATCTCCAAATTCAATGCTTGTCTGGATTCAATGAGAAAAATGCTCCTTAAAGAAACAACAATCAGCTTAAATCATTGGAAGAATACTCAGTGTCCATGGCTAGGACATGCCGATATAATACAAATGACAATGCAATCAAAATTGATTGACAGATTTAGTGCCATTCCAATCAAAGTGCCAACGGGTCTGCTTTACAGAACTAGACAAATTCATAACAAGTTCATTTACAGGAGCAAAGGATTTTGAGTTACGAAAGGATGTAATGAAGTAAGGCAAAGAGGAAGGGAGATGAGAACCTCTGACTAGATTATGAAACAAGTCATCAGAATAATTTGGTAATGGCTAAAAATGATAGAAAAGTAGATCAATGGTCCAGAGGAGATAAGGCAGAATCAGAAATAATTGAACTCATTAACTGGAGGCTCAGTAAATCAGCAACCATGAATTTCTTAGGAAAGAACTCACTATTTGATAAGAACTGTTGGGAAAACTGGAAATTAGTCTGGCAGAAATTAGGTTTGGAGTAACATCTTATACTACATTCCACAACAAATTGAAAATGGATACGTGATTGGTATATTGAAAAAAACGTAATTAAAAAATTAGAAGAGAAGCAGATGATATGCAGGTGTGAGTAAGGAGGTGAATTCTTCACTAAAAAAGAGAATTATAAAAAATACAGCAAATAATTTTGAGTACATGTGCTGGAAAAGCTTTTGTACAAGAAAAATGAATGCTTCTAGGATAAGGGAAATGGTCCACTGAGAAAAAAAACCCTTTGTATCCATCATCTCTAATAAGGGTTTGTTATCCAAGACATATGGAAAATAACTAGAAATACGTGAGACCAAAAGCCATTCCCCAGCTGATAAGTGGTTAAAGGATATGAACAAAATTATCAAAAGAATTGCAAACTCCTAACGATTGATCATATGAAAGAATGCCCCAAATCATTTATAGAAGAAAGGCAAATTAAAGGACCCCTGAGGTTTCACCTCACCTCCAACAAATTGTCAAAGATGCCAAAAGATGGTAATAGTCCACATTGAAGAGGCTGTGGCATGACAGGTGTGCTAATGCATTACCAGTGGAGCTGCAAATTTCTACTTATGTAAATTAATAATCTCTAGTTATAAATAAAGTGACTTAAATACTCATATTTGTCCCAGAGATGTCACAGTTAGACATTTGGTCATTGACCAAAAGAAAGACTCTATAAATACCAAAATATTTATAGCTGCATTTTGGGGGGTAGCAAATTGGAAATGAATAGATGCCAATCAGCTGGAGAATGGGTAAGTCAACTGTGCTCCAGTGCTGTAAGAAATGATTGATATGATGAAGAGAAGAGTGGAGAGCCGAGGAAAGAACAGAGCCGAGGACGACAATGTGAATGAAGGAGCGCCACGGCTTGCCTGAAACCAAATGATGGGAAACCAAAAGGCTGAGGTTGGCCCCCAAGAGGAGTCTCGAGGCGCCCCCTCCTCCTCCAAGGGCTTGGGTTCATTTTGCTGGCATTTCTTCCTCCTTCTTTCCTCCCCTTTACTCCTTGTAGAAAGGCTGCTCCCTGGGAGGCAGCGGTGGGGAAAGGGAGTGAGGCACAGAGGAGCATGGGAGGTGCCAGCCTGGATCTCGCTTTTGACCCAGCGGTAAGAGGGGGCCATTGGAGTGCCACGGCCAGGCCTGTACCTTGGGAAGGTCATTTTGGCGCCTGGTGGCGGGTGGACGGGGAGGGGAGAGCCTGGAGGCAGGGAGGCCATTGGGAAGCTGCTGAAATAGCCCACGAGACAGGAAGTGGCCGCAGTCCACTGGAGGATCTCCTCTCCTGTCTGGTTCATCGTCACCCCCAAAGGGAACCAGAGCTGTCCTGGGCCGCTAAGACCCAGCCATCCAATGCGATGCACAGCGCTGTGTGGCCTCAGAGGGAGACTGCGATGATTTTCCTTTCCTGTACAGTAAAGAGCAAACTACCCTGGAGCTGTCTGCGTGAAGGCCTCAGGGTCTGAGTGGAGTCCTCAGACCTCGCTCACTTTGGGCAGCAATGGCAGCGGGACCCAACCTGCCGCTCACTTCACGCAGCCACCTGTGGCCACTGCTACAGAGGTCCAGTCACTCCAAGGGGCTGGAGGTGGACACACGGGACCCCAGGGGGCCGGCAGGGCACAGTGTGTCCAGTCCCAAGTGAGCAGTCACTGGGCCGGCCACACAGTCACGGCTGCGCTGGGTGCAGGGTTCCCCCCCAAAAAAAAAAGGAGGTGAGTAGGCCATTTTATCTTTGTCTGTGCTAATTCGTCCTTGTCCCTCCAGCACTGGGGCTCCTCTTCTCTCCTCTCCACAGTGCAGTATTGTCAAAAGTGGAGGCTCTGGGGGCCCCAGGAGAGACGCGCCAACCATGGACTTGGACGTCTACAGCTAACGGGCGATACCAGGGTCAGAGGTGGGGTGGGGGCTGGCCAATCACAGCCATGCTCCTCCGTGAATTCCCGTCACGGTCCTCAACCCCTGCTCCGGATTTAAACCAGGTCCCCCTCAATCCACAAGGCACACACACACACACACACGAGTACAACGTCAGCACTGCCTGAATGCCCGCTGTGAACCCAGCATCATAGCAGACACAGGATCTCAGTGGGTGTATACCTTTCTCATTGATAATTGAAAGCTAGGAAAACAAGGGGCGGGGGAATTTTTGGAATAAAAGTATACTGCCCACTGAGAAGCATTTGGAGCAGACGACAGCCAGTCGCTGCAGGCGGTGGGGACCTTCCACAGCCCCATCGAGAAGGCCACCACCGCTCACCAGGCACCGTGGCACCCGGGGACGCCCCGAAACCACAGAAGGCGGTGTTGCACAACAGTGTGTTTATTTTAATGGGGAGAAAAAGAAGCGCGTGGTCGCTCAGCCAAGAGCAAAGCCCAGAACCGTCCATCTCTTTCGGCTGACCACCGCCCCTCCAGGGCGGTGATCCAGGCTCTGGTGTGACCGCGGGCTGGCCGGCGTCCTGTGGGATGGGCCTGGCCCGTGGGAGCCCATCCCACCATTCAAGGGTCCCAGAGGGCCCTAATCTAAGAGCAAGGCCTGGCACATATTTAGGAGAGGCCGGCGACTTTGATGCCAAAGGACTGCTTCATTTTCCTAGCAATTACTGGCAAATTCAGAAAGAATCACAGAGGATCAGCGTTAGAGTAAATTCCTTGGATTGTCTACAAGCATGAGGAAGTGAGGATGAGCCTGGGGTCCTAGGCGCCTTCTGAAGCTGGTCCTAGGGCCTGCCTGCACAGAGCTCCCCTAGTCACGGGGCAAAAGAGCCCCCGAGATCCTGCTACAGTCCAGATGCCTGCTCCTCACCAGCCGATACAAGGGTCTGGGCAGTCACGCAGGTAGGACTCATACACGTCACTGGGAACGTCGATCAGTGTGGTATAGACTGTGAGCTGTAAGAAACACCACTTGTGTCCTTAGCACGTTGGCCGGTTCAGACCACAACCCCAGACTGGGCAGCCTGCTCACTCTCACAGGGGCAATGAGGCATCCTTGGAACAGGGGGCCCCAGCCCTGCCAGGCAGAGAGACGAGGGACCTGCCCAGGGTCACACAGCTGGGGAGGGGGTCTTCCTGACTTGAGGCTAGCTCTACCCACCCACCACCTCAAGCTGCCTCTCTAGAATCCCCAATGTGACCCTCTATAGACAGAAGCACCAGACAGACCCACCCCCGGCCTCTTCAGCCCTTCCCCACCCACCCTGTGTGAGTGCCACACGGTCGTGCTCCCCACCCCCCAACGATGGCCATGGTTTGGGGCTCCCCGTTCTTATCAACACTGGCAGCTACAGCCCCTGCAGGCCACATGGCCACGCTACTGCCAGAACAGCCACCACCCTACTGAGCGTAGACTAAAAGCAATTCCTGCCCAGTTTGTCCCAACAAACCAGGGTGCCACACCTCAGTGACTGGTCTCTCCATCACACCAAAAATGAAGCCACCTAACCCAGGGTGGCCGCTAACCCGATTCTTCAGCTCACACCACCCTGAGGGGAAGGGGTGAGTATCAGGCCGAGGATTCCCAGACAAGAATTACCTTGTTGAGAACTGGCTTTGTGGACAGGATGTCATAGGAGGAGGCCAACGAGATGTTCTAGGAGAGAGAAGCGCCACATTGGTGAGTCCTGAAGGCAGGGCAGCGGCTGCCCTGACCCCCCAAGGGGGCAGCTCAGAGCCGGCAGGACCCGCCAGGTCAGCATGAGCCCCAAGAGCTCGCTCCTCACCAACAGACCCATCCATGCTGGCAGGTGGGGCTCAGGAGGGAGAAGGCCACCATCTAGAGCCAGCACTGTCCCATCCCCCCAGGCATGGGAGGGCAGATCCCAGACTGCTGAAGTCTGAACGAGCCCTCTCATTACTTACGACGTCCATAAGTGCCAACGTTGTACCCATAGGCCCAAGCCAAGGATAAAACCTCCCTGCCACCCTGAACCCCCCCGCCGCCCTCGTTCCATTCTCCCTGGGGGATCTCTCCCTGCCTGATCTCCCCAGACTGAAGCCAGCTTCTGCAGGTGTCCACAGCCTCCCAGAGCACAAAGCAATCGTGGGCACAGACCACCCAGGCTCCAGGGCATCCTCTGACCCCGAGCCCAGCACAGCCTGGATGACCGAAGCCCTCCACTACCGCCCTCTCCCTCTGCCAGGCGCAGCATCAGTTTCCCCAATGTGCCAGGCATGTCCTTTCTGGCCAGGTGGTCTCTAGTGTGTGCCAGTGACAAACCACTTGTGTTTCTCCTTCCACTGACCTTCACACAAACGTGCTTCGGCTCATGCTTCCCGGCTTTCCTCCCATGAGAACCCCCCCTGCATATTCTTACCATCCAACATGCCCTCCACCCATCACCATCTTCTGGGGGCCAGCCCCCCATGCCTCGGGGATGCTTCGGTTAGGACCCGAGGCTCCTCTGGCCGCCTCAGATCCGGGCATCTGTGTGCAGACGCTTGTGGTCGGGGACTTTACCCGCCGCTCCTTCCCCGGACTTTGTCTCCTATGAACTTTGGGGCGTCTCAAACGTGATTCTGCTTCCTTTCTTATGGCATCTAACGCGGGGTAATGACAGGCTATCTTCCTCCTTCCTCCTTTTCTAGTTCACAGCCCCTCAGATGAGCCGTTGGGTTCCCAGCTGTCTGTGGCTGGGAATCTGTCCGCCCCCTTCTCATATGCCACTTCCTCGGCCAGCTGCTCACTTCCCACATTAACTTTTCTCTTCTGCATCCCCCGATGCAGACCATCTTTTGCCTCCATTCTTACCAATGACCCTTTAATCCCTGAATGGGGGTTGCTTCAGACAAAGAGACCTCGGAAAGACCCTAGCTTAAAAAGGCCAGGGTCTCCCATGCATCGGGGTCATCACCGTGGTCCTGACCTGTGTCCAGCTCCTGGATCCAGATGGCTCCAGAAAAGAGGGTGAGGCCAGTGACCGTGCACAGCCCTGCCTCACTTAAACCCAATTCACATGCAAGTCATGGAATCTCCTTCCTGATGTCACCGTCCTCTTACAGAACAAAGGAGAAGCAGCAACATTTGGGCTCCTGTGACTGCAGATAAGTCTGGATAAGGGTCAGGAGGGCCACCTTTATGGACACAACAGAGCTCTCCAGCAACGTCACCAGGCTGACCACTATGGGCCTCCCCCAACAGGGAATCCCCCTCCCCATCCCAGGCTGACCAGTAAGGGGCCTTGGCCCCCTCTCCTCCCAGAAAGGAATTCCCCCCCCCCATCTCAGGCTGACCAGTACAGGCCTCCCCGAGCTCCCTCCCCATCTCAGGTTGACAGTGAAGTACCTGGGTGCCCCCCCCAGCAGGGAATCCTCCCTCCCCCCATCCCGGGCTGGCCAGTAAGGTACCTCAGCCCCCCCCCCCTGCAGGAATCCCACCCCCTCTTCTCTCCTTGCTCTGTCCTCACGGGATGCTCTGGGGTCTCCCCACTCCCCACCCTGTCAGGCCAGGCCTCTCCTCCTCCTCTCTAAGCAGAGCCTCTGATCTACTGCTAAGCTCCATACGCCCAGCCGCTCTTCTCCACCCTGGGCCCGGGGGGGTCACATCGTCCTTCTCCACTGTCCTACCAGGCCAAACATGCCCTCTTCTACCTCCTGTGCCCCTCCCTTCTCCAGGAGGCCCACCCTGGCTTCCAGCCTGGCCCACGCTCCCCACCTGAAGGCCCCTCTCCTCTGCCTCTGGTTCCCTTGCTCTGACACGCCCTCCTCTCCAGTTCCCTCCGGCCCCCCAGCCTCCCCAGTTTCTACCTAGAAGGAGGGGCTTGGAGATTCCAGTCCTTCCATCTTTCCTCCGTTTCTCCCAAATTCAGCCACGTTTCTTCCCCCAAAACCCGACCTCTGACTTCTCCCTCCCCTGTGCTGGGGCCTGGCCCGCTCTCCCCTCTTCACACAGAAGCAAGAGCCCAAAGCATACAGTAGGTGCCCACTAACGGCTGGCCGGAAGGAGCCCAAACCTTCTCTTTGCCGTCTCGGCCGACAGCTCTGCAGACTCACCTCTTGTGTGGTCTGGTTTAAACAGAGGGTGGCGGGCTTCCTCCGGTCATCAATGAAGAAGGGGGCTTTCCAGCGGTCATAGTTGGTCTCCACCAAGAACCACCTGCCTTCCTTGGGCTTGAGCCTGCGGGCGGACAGACGGATGGACGGACAGACAGATGGGCAGACCGACAGACGGACAGAGCCCTGAGCCTCGCCCCGCTCCCTTCGCCCCCCCAGACACTTACTCGTAGACGTCCACGGTGGACTTTCGGTCCCGAGTGATCACGCAGCCCTCCCCGGACTTGTTACCCCCCAGGATGAAGTAGGCCGGGGCCAGGACTGTGGTTTTGATCAGCAGGTTCTTGGCGTCTTCGTAACTGTGCACAGGTGAGCGGGAGAACCCGTCACTGCTTCCCTCGGTCTACGCCACCCGCCCTCGGGGGGCTTCCCTTCTGGGAGACCCTGCATTTGTTCCTGAAGCTTTTATCATTAGTGATGACGGCGTCTGTGGCCAGCAGCCCCCAGGAGCGGCCCAGACTTAGGCAGAATGGGGAGCCAGAGAGAGCAGAGCCAGGCCTGAGGGCCGCTCTCGCCCTCTCCGGAGGGCGCTGGTCTGGGGGTTCTGTGTGGGGAGGGACCGCATATTTGCTGTGGCCCGAAGTAGCAGTCAGAGCGGATGTTGGCGTCTGAGGGTCATTTCTGGACTAACGTAAAAAGGAGACGCCTCCTCAGACCCAGAACTCCCTGAGGGGCCTGTGATAAAAATCTCCCAGGGACTGCTGAGAATTTGGCTTCCCCAACCAGGTGACCAGTCTCACTTGGCGCTTGACCACAGCCCTCTGGAGCGGGTCGTCCGCTAGGGGATATCACACTCATTTGACAGAAGAGGACACCGAGGCACAGAGGCCTCTGACCTCACACCGTCACAAGGCACTCGTGACGGGAGAAGCCAGGCTGTACATCTTGACTCTGGACCTCCCTCTGAACCTTTACCTAAGCCTCTGCAGAGACAGCAGCAGCCACCCTCCCATGTGAGGGGGCAGCCTTCCTAGCCAGGGGAGGAGGCCCTGAGGGAGGGGAGCCTGAGCCCTTGTTAGAACTCAGAAACCAAAGTGCTGTCCTCCTCCCCCTCCCCACTGTCCCCAGGCCTGCTGTCCTGGGGCAGTCCCGGGGGCCTCAGGGCCTCCAAGGCAGAGGGCCAGAACCCAGGCATCCTAGAGTCACCCTGGGGCCGCTGTGCACAACCCATTACCTTGTGGCGTTCTCCAGCACGCTTCTCATGAGGAACCCTATCCACATGTCTTCCCTTCTGCCCAACATCCATTCTATGACGCCTGAAGAGAGAGGGGACATGCGCAGATGGCCTCGGGATGTTCTGAGGAGCCTGGCCCACCCCCGCCCAGGAGGCCCCACAAGCCGCTCCTCACCCAGGAAGCCCCCGTTCAAGTTGAAGCGCTCATTCAAGGTCAGGCTGAAGGTCCCCTGGGAGAAACGTGGACAGAGCAGTGCTGAGGACCACTGTTCTTCCCATCAGACCAGCCAGGCCCAGTGCCGAGTGTGAAGGCAGAACTGGGGCCTGACCCAGCTCCTCTGTGCCAGCTCTGCCATCAGACCACCCTCAGGCTGACCACTTCACTTCCGTCCCACCTTCTCCCCCCCGAAGCTGCTGCAGCCATGCTGCTGGCAGTTCCCCCCAACTCCCCACAGCTCAGAAACAGAGGCTCCTCACTGGCTTCATGCCTGTCAACATGCCCACGTAGCCTGCAAATGAGGTGGCTTTGAAGACCGTCCGATTGTTCTTCTGGAAATCCAGATTCACCGATAGCGGCTTCAGGTTTTCTGTCACAGTCCAGGAATTATTGTTCATGTTCCACCTGCAAAGACACGTCTACGTGTGCCTGGCATGCCAAGGGATGGGCCGGGCCCCAAGCTCATGGTGTCCTCTGGAGGCAGGACCCCGGGAAGGATGCCTGCACCCCAAGATAATCCAAGGCTTTGGCATGGGGGTGGAGTGGGGGTTGTCACTGACCCCTTCCAGGCCAACACCGAGCCTTCTTGGTGGGCACATCCAGGGAGGGGCCGCGGCCCGCCTGCTCTACCTACATCTTCCTCCCGGCTCAATTGCTCAGCCCTCACAGCTACACCCCACACCGCTTCTCTTGCCTCTACAGGAGGCCTGTCTCTGGGGCCCCTTCCCTGATGCCTCAGGCTAAGTGAGGCCTAAAGGCTTGGTCACCCATGGACTTCAGGATCAGGCTGGGCCTGCCTTCCACCCTCATATCAGACACCTGGTCACACAACGTGGCCTACATGGCCACAGATACAGCCCTTGTGCCTTGTCGGTGGTCAGGCCAGCCTGGGCACTTACCCAAGAAAGACACCAAAATCCATATTTCTAACATGGAACAAATGACCTCAGGAAAGAAAAGAGCAAGAAGTGAGGGTTAGAACCCATGATGGTCCCTGTCTTTCCCTTTCCTCCAGTTCACCGCAATGGGAAGTCCTCTGCTGGCCACAAAACCAAAGGGCCTCAGGCTGGCTAGTGCGGCCAGGCACCCGGTCAAGCTAGCCATGCTGCCATGGCCATGTCTCTTAGGTTCTACATCTGGCTTCAGAGAGGACCAAGGACTTAGGAAGTTCTGAGTGAGCAGGGGGAAGAGAGGGCGCCTTCCTTTATCACAGCGCTCTCCCTGCCCAAGATGGCAGCCAGCCCTTTCCTGAGGAGGGAGGCAGAAGTGGAATGCCATCGTCCAGTGGTCAATGACCCCAGAGTCTCGAGGGCTGTCTTTGCTGTTGGAGCATGAGGTTCAGCTGAGGGGAAAGAAGGGAGGATGCCATACTTGGCAGGGGGCTGGAATGCCAAGTGCAGAGGCACCAACGATCTTCTTGGGTCTGGGGTGGTCGGGGGCGCCACGTTAGGGCTGGACAGATCCTAAAAGCCTCACTGCTGACTAATGTAAGTGACTGGATGCGTGTGGAAGTCTGAGCACACCAGGCTTTAGCCGCGGCCTCAAAGGTCTGCCACCTATGAAGAGTCTGCCAGGCAGATAAGGCCAAAATGGGAAGGCCACATCTACAGCCAGCCCTAGGTCCCTCCCCACTCGGGTGCTCACCACCCAATACATATCTCTTACCTTTCTTATCTTCTGCTATGATGGACGTACAGATAGTGAAGAGTTCGTAGAAAATGTTGAAAGAAAGAACCTCACCTGAAGGGAACAAGGCACACGCCAGGTTAGCAAACAGACCAGAGACGGAGGGTGTGCAGACCTCCTGACCCGGGGACCCCATGCCCCAGAGGGCGAGGGGCCCAGCTACCGACAACAGCTCCTTGGTGCTGAGGAGGGTGGAGGCCCTCGGCGGGGACAGCTGAACAAAGCATGGCTCTATTTCTATTCTGCTCTCCTCTTCTAAGAGATCTGGGCCCTTCTCTGCAAAGATTTCTTGGAATAGGATATCCAGCCTCCTTTTTGGTTGTGGAATGCACAGGGTCCACCAAGTCTTCATTTTATTCTTCTCCATCTGTTTTCTGGGTCACTCGGCTTTGCCATTTTCTATTTTTTCTGCCTTGTGACTTTGTTTTAATGTTTCTTGTTGCCTCATGGAGTCATTGGCTTTCTTCTGGTCCGCTCTAATTCTCAGGAATTTTGTGGCTCAGGCAGGCTTTGTACTTCCTGCATTAAGTCTTGACTCCCCTTCCAATTCTCTCTGCCACAGTTTTCATTTCTTCTCCATTTTTTTTCTCAAACGCTCATTCCATTTAGACAAACATGTTTAACTCTTGCTTGCTTCATCTTTCCCGAGTATTCCAGTGCAGAATCTCCACTGCGCTTTCCTCTGAGATATTCTGGAGTCATTCTCTTCTATATCTGTGTCTTCAGAGACCTCCCCCGCCCTGGCCAATATCTCAGGAGGGTGGGGTTCTTTTGTGGTCTGCCCTTTCTCCCAGGGACTTGGTGTGAGGGTTGGCCTTCGTGGCCCTTTTGGAGGCAAGGGCTGGCTAGTCCTGTTGCGTCCCCTTGGGATGCTGAGGGTTGTGTTGTTCCAAGTTCTGGGGACCTTCAAGCTTTCGGAGCCCCCAGAAGGGTCTGATCCAGGGCGGATTGCTGCCCTCTGGTCTGAGCTCGAGAAGATGCTGCTGGACTCTGCTGGTTCAGTGGCAGAATTCTGGGCCCCCCTGCGGCCCCCACCCTGGTTACTTCTCTGAGGGCTCGGCTGGACGTGGGGAGTGAGACCCTGCCCTGTGCCTGGGCTTTGAGCCACGCTGCTGCCGCTGGTGGTGGTGAGTTCTGATCTCTGTTGTCGGTACACTGCCCCGTGCCTCCCTCCCGGGAACGCAGCTGCCCTGCACAGTCAGTCCCTTTCTCAGCCCTCCCTGGATCTGGGATCTAGAACTGGGCGGTGGGTGATGATGCTTATAGTTCACACCTGTCCCTGTTGCGTGCCCTGAGGTGGCTCTGGAGGTGCTCCAGTATAGCCTGAGACCTCCTCTTGCCGTGGTGTCCAGCCTCTCCTGGTGTGTGACTTGCTCATGGCCTGACCCATCTCCGGTGTCTGAAGACCTCTCTGTCCGTCTCCCCGTGCTGAGCTCGACTAGGATTTCAGCCGCACTTCTGAACAGTCTCTCATGGGATGGATGGAGAGATGTAGGAGTGAGAGAGCACGGCCAGGTGGGGACAGAAGGAAGCCAAAGACCTGTCACTAATGGTTCAATGACAGCTTGAGAGGCGTCCCCGGAGGGCGCCGGGGACCTGCACCATTTCAATATTTGGATCCAGGCCTGATCAAGGTGTGGATGACACCCACGGAGCAGGGGGAAGTCAGATACAGGATCCAAAGAGATGTTGGGCGGAATCTCACAAGATACCCTCAGACAGGCACAGGTGCGGGCCCCTTCCCCTACAGTACCACCTCAGGGGAAGCATCCAGGGGTGGTCTCCCCGCCTCAGCCCCAGAGAGGGGCCCCCAGGCCGTGCCACCTGCGAGCACTGAGTGCAGGGACTGCAGGGATGCGCGTGCTCTGAAGAGATGAAGACCAGAGGGGCTGGAGCTGAAGAAGGGACCCCCAAGGGCAGGGGGGGAGGATGTGGAGGCAAAAGGAGGCTTGAAGCCAGGAAAGCTGCCTACCCAAAGTTGGGTAGTGAGCTCCTGGTCATAGGCGGTATGAGGAGAGGCCTGTCTGCTGCTTGTTGGGCATGTAGATAAGGGGGTTCTTGGCGAGGGAGGAGATGGCCTTGATGTCTCAACAATTCTTCCTGTATCCTCTGTTATTTAACTCATAAAGCATCACGTAAACATTCCTCTAGCACACAGTGGATTCTAAAATACTGAGAGAACCAGAAAAAGCCCTTTTCCTCTCCCTCCCCGGCCCCTGGAGGTTACCTAGAGGGACTCCTGACACGTCTGCAATCCCCTTCAATTCCTCCTCAAAGGGCCAGGGAAGGTTGCCAAGCATGCTGGGCTGAAATTCAGAAGGCAGAGATAGCATCAGGCCATGCTCAGTGTTGGCCCCATATCAAATACAGTAATGATCTTCGTTCTAAAGTGAAATGCAGGGAAAAGGTGCAAAAATCCCAGACTGTCCCTGCGTGGGGAAAACACTGGATATTCAGCTGCTCCTAAACCCCCAGTAGGTTTTCTGTTGAAATGTTGGTTTTGAATTGGAAATGGAGGGGATGCCCATCAACTGGGGAATGGCTTAACAAACTGTGGTATATGAATGTAATGGAATACTATTGTGCTATAAGAAATGATGAGCAGGCAGACTTCAGAAAAACCTGGAAAGACTTATATGGTCTGATGCTGAGTGAAGTGAGCAGAACCAAGAGAACGCTGTACATGATAACAGTCACACTGTGCAATGACTAACTTTGATAGACTTAGCCCTTCCCAGCAATGCAAGGATGTAAGACATCTCCAAAGGTCTCATGATGCTATCCACATCCAGAGAAACAACTATGGAATCTGAATGCAGATGGAAGCCCATTCTTTTCATTTTCTTTGTTTTTTGTGTTTTTTTTCTTTCGTCCTGTCTCTTCTTTCACAATACAACTAATGTGGAAATATGTGTGACATGCATACTCTACATCAGATTGGTTGCCATCATGGAAAGGGGGAGAGGGGAGGGAGAAAAAATTTGGAACTGAAAATCTTACGAAAAATGAAGGTTGAAAACTATCTTTACATGTAATGAGAAAAAATAAAATATTATTCACATAAAAAAAATTTTGAAACAGAAATGTTGGTTTTAATGCTTTGCGCTCTTAAGAACATGAGAATGGGATAGCACCGAGCTTCTTCCAAAGTCAGGGTAACAGCTGTGAGGGGGGTGGGGAGAGCCTGAAGAGAGAGGAATGGCAGTGGGGACACCCTGCTGGAGAAGGGGGAGAGGGGATGGTGCTGGCCTGGAGACGGTGCCACGGGCAGGGAGAAGGCCGCCTCTTTCCTCATCAGGTGCGGAAGGGAAGGGGAGATGGTGGAGGATGCCAAGGGGTTGGGAAGTGTAGAGAGGAGGAAAGCCCTCTCCTGCAGTGGTCTGTTTTCTCAGCAAAGAAAGAGGCAAGGGCCTCGTTTAGGGTTGGGAGAGGGGATACCCTGGGATGCTCAAGGAGAGAAGGGGAGATCTAGACCAGCCACTGTGGGGAGTATGTGTGGAGGGCAGGCCCAGTGGAGACCAGATACCATCCATTCACGGGAACCTCCTCGGCATACTGGGATGGGTTCCTCTGGCTCTATTTGGCAGCCTGTGGGGGGGGGGGCGGAGCAGATGATGAGGACAAACCGAGGCTGAGGCCTGGCAAGGCACAAGCACCCACAGTAGGCCAGGGGAGGGTAGAGGACTTGAGAGCAGAGGAATGGGTACAGTGACCCGGTGAACCACGGAGAAGTGAGGGGGGAGTCGTGGCCTGGGGACCAAATACTGAGGGATCAGTGAGGAGGAAGAATATGCCCGCCATGGTGGCAGGGAAGGCTCAGGACCCAAGGACCTTCTAGGTTAGGGCTACAGTTAGGTCTAGGTCCTTTGACTGAGTCCAAGCTTCACAGAACAAATCCTTTCATTAAGGCGATCTGTTATGCGACGTTGGGATTCCAAGGGCCAGTCTTGAGGACCTAGAGGGCCACATGTGCATTCGCAGCCGCAGGCTTAGGCCAAGACCTTCTGGACTTCTCCATCATGGAGTGAACGACTCATCAGGGCCGTGTGAGATCAAGGGGGTCTATCCCTGGGGGCAGAAGGGGGGGATGGAGGTGGGAGACAGGGGAGCTGAGGAACGGGAAGGTGTTCAGTAGAATAACAGCAGGGCTTGGAGCAGAGAGGGCAACGGGGGCCAGCGCACTGGAATGTCCGGGGGGCCAAGAGGTGATGGAGTCGTGTCAGGGGTGAGGCAGAACGGCGTCCTAATGGCGCTCACCCCCTCCCTGGAGCATGTCCTCCACCTCCCTCCCCCATCTCACCCCCAGCCCAGGAGAAGCGAGCCACAGACACCCCCATTCCCACCCCGCGCAGAAATGCACGCACGTACACCCACAATGATCGCCGTAGATGTTAGCCAGCCTTACCAAGCGCTCATCCACCATCTTTATAACTTTCCCACTGGGAAAGAAAGTGTTCACCACGTTCTTCACATTCCGCACGATGTTCCGGAACTGGGATGACAAACAAACATAACCGTCAGGAAGCAGGCGGCACAGACCCCAGCGGTCCCCGGGATACAGGGCAATGAGAGCCTCAGAGGCTCCGAGCCGGGAAGCCACCGGACCCAACAATCCTACTTTACAGATGGGTAAACCGAGGTTCGGAAGGAAAGCCATCGACTCCAACCCAGGTGCTTTGCCTCCAAGTCCAGATAATTAAATTATAATTCGTATCTTGGGATGATTTCCTGTGCCAGACAAGCTCACTGCAACCTAACCGGATCTTTAAAACTCCATTTCATGCATTATTTTTACGTCTTTTTTCCTGACCCAGAAGATGACCAGAGAGGGTGGAGGGCTGGTCAGATGGGCAAGAGCCGCCTGAGAGGCCGGCTGGACTTGGGAAGACCCCCTGCAGCCCCAGGGCCATCCGGGAACCTCATCTTGGTTTACTGATTACTTGGTGTCAAGGACCATAAAGGGAAGCCAAGTGGAAGGCTGGGACTCCAGAGGCAGGGGCCAAGCCCGGAAGGAAATGTCTGGAAGCCCCTAACATCCATCAAGGGTGGCTGATGCTCCACAGCTACCCACACGGGCAGACCCACCAGGGCAAGGGTGGGCGGGCTGGGCACCACCAGGCCCGCTCATCGGATAACTGAGAAAACAAGAGCTCGTGGAGGTGAAGGGACCCCCGAAGGAATAGTTCCCAAGGTGTGAGGCCCCACCTTGAACCCCAAGGGAAGGACCCATCTCTACCGTACTCTAGGCCAAGGAGCCCCAGACCAGGAGCAAAGCACTTGGCTTCCCATCCCCGCCCTCACCCTTATTCCTTGCCTGACCTCAGGCACAGGCCTTCCTCCCCAGGGGCCTCAGTTTCCTCATCTGTAAAATGAAGAGTTTGGACCAGAGAGCCTCTTATCCATATACTAGAACCAATTAAAGAACAATGTAATGGTCTCATGACACCCTCAGTCAAGGTCACTGCAGGCTGGGAGGGCCGGGAACGGCTTAGGCCCCAGCACGCACCCTCGGCTACTCTGTGAGGGCAGTGTGGGCACAGCAGTCTGTCCAAAGAACGAGCGAGCCCGGAGGGCATCAGAGGAAGAGGAAAGACCAGCACCTCGTCTACAAATATCCCACCCCATGGAGGAAAGGACAGCCCCACTTCTCCAGGAATGAACAGCTCACAGAAGCCACTGCCACGGGGCCTGTGGGCCGTCCCGTGCCCCGACCCCATGAGGGGGCACAGGTGCAGAGGTCTCGATCAGGCCCCGGCTTTTTTTTTACACGGGTCACTGAGACCCCAGAAAGGTGACCCAAGGCCTAAACCCAGGTCCATCTCTGATGCCAAGTCAGGTGCTCTTTCCACTGGGTCTCCTGGGGGCCGAGGCTCAACCAATCCCCTTTTCCTACAAGACCCCACCACCCCCTTTCCTCTGAACAGCCTCCCCCTTCTCTGAAATCTCTTTGCACTCCTCTGGGCAAAGCTAGTAACACTTGATAATGTAATAACTGCAAAGGAAAGGAGATTTACTCCTCAATAAGACTGCCAAGTGCGAGGCACGGCCGGAGCCAGGCCCTCCAGAAAGCCTGATCTAAAACAACAGATCAGGAATGGGCGAGTAAACAGTAGAACTATGGGGCCTCCCCCTGCCGAAAAAAAAAGGATTCTTCAAAGAGTTAATAAACACATTAATGCAATGTTACATTTTGTTTAGAAAATCATATACAACTCTGTCAAGAAGAAGCGGAAGGTTCTCTCCTACCCCTGGTGACATGTCTGTGATAACCTCGTGCCATCGCTTGTACGGGGGCAAGTCAAGATTGATGGTGTACCAAGGCACCGGACCTCTGTACCTGGAATAGAAGCACATGAATCGCTCATTAAAGTCCAAGAATGCATGCAAAGAGAAGTGAGCAGAGCCAGGCACGCAGGGCACGCAGGAACAGCAACCTCAAACACTGATCCCGTGAATGACCGAGCTATTCTGATGAATACAATGAACCGAGAGAATTCCAAAGGGCTTGTGATGAAGAACGCTCTTCAACTCCTGAAAAAGACACTGACAGAGTCTGAATGCAGATCAAAGCACACTTTCCAAACTTTCTTCATTTTTCTTGTTTGTTTTTTTTTAAGTCTGTGCTTTCTTTTGCAACATGGTTAATAAGAAAATGTTTTACATGACCTCAGATATATAAGACATATCAAAGTGCTTGCCTTATCAAGGAGAGGGCTGGGGGGGAGGGAAGGAGAGACTATGGAACTCAAAATCTGAAAAAAAATGAATGTTAGTTTTTTTACATGTAATTGAGAATTATTTAATGAAATAAAAAATATATTGGGAGAAAGCAATAAAAGTATATGAAGCTATAAAAACTAATTAAATAAAAAAAGACAGAAGTAAACAACTGGAGAAATAGTAATTGCTCATGGGTAGACTGAGCCAATATAATAAAAATGGCAATTCTATCTAAATTAATTTACTTTTTCAGCGCCATACTAATTAAACTAACAAAAATATTTTATGGAGCTAGAAAAAATAATAACAATTCATCTGGAAGAAAAAAAGGTCAAGAATTTCAAGGGAATCCATGAAAAAAATGTAAAGGAAGGCAGCCTAGCAGTACCAGATCCTCAAAATACAGTAATCATCAAAACAATCGGATACTGGCTAAGAAATGGAGTGGAATAGATCAGGTATGCAATACACAGTAGTAAATGACCATAGTAATCTAGCGTTTGATAAATCCAAAGGTCCAAGCTCTGGGGGCAAGAACTCACTGTTTGACAAACATTTCTGGGAAAGCTGGAAAGCAGTTCAGCAGAAATCAGGTACAGACCAACATCTCACATCAAATACACCAAGAGAAGGTTTAAATGGGTATGCAATTTCTTGTTCGTTTTATGTTGAGGTTTATCTACATCTGAAAGGAGTACATTGAGGCCCCCCACTAGTACAGTTTCACTGTCTATTTCCTCCAGCAATTCATTTAACTTTTCCTTCAAGAATTTGGATGCTATGCCATTTGGTGCATACATATTCAGTACTGATATTAATTAATTGTCTGTGGTACCTTTTAGCAAAATAGTTTCCCTGATTATCTCCTTTAATCAGATCTATTTTTGCTTTTGCTTTGCTACCTGTGCCTTCTTTACTTCAGCTGAAACATAATAGATTCTACTCTAGCCCTTATTTTAACTCTATTGTGTCTGTCTGTTTCAAGTATGTTTCTTGTAAACAACATATTGTTGAAGTTTGGTTTCTAATCCCTTCTGCTTCCCATGTCCGCTCATCCCATTCACATTCAGAGTTATGATTGCTAACTGAATATTTCATTTCATCCTATTTTTTAAAATTTTATTCTTTTTTACCCCATCCCCTCTTCAAAAGACTGTTTTGTGTCTGACCACTGCCTCCTTTAATGTACCCTCCCTCTTAGTGCCCAAATCTTTCTCTTAGCCCATTCTCCTCCTGCTTCCAAGGGTGTGGGGTGTGTGTATCTGTTCTTCCATCTTTGAAAATCTGTTCAGATGAGAGTGGAATTCAAATATTCTTCCCTATTCTCCCCACTGTACCTTCTATTGTACAAATTCTTCCTTACGTGCCTCTTTTATGTAAGATCTCCCCCATTCTTCCTCTCCCTTCCTCTTTCTCCCAGTGATCCTTCCTTCTCACTCTTCCATTCTTTTGAGATCATCCCAACCTCATACACTCATACCCATGCTATCTTTCTATGTAGACTTTTCTAACTGCCATGATGATAAAAGTTCTGAGGGGTTACATTTTGTGTTTGAATGTTAACTTTTCTATTCAGCTCTGGTCTTTTCATCAGGAATACTTGAAATTTTCCTTCTGTTAAATGGCCATTTTCTTCCCTGAAATATTATATTCAGTTTTGCTAGGTAGGTTATTCTTGGTTGTAATCCTAGCTCATTTGCCTTCTAAATATCATATTCTAAGCTCTCTGCTCCTTTAATGTGGTAGCTGCTAAATCTTGTGTGATCCTGACTCTGGCTCCACAGTACTTGAATTCTTTCTGTTTGGCTGCTTGTAGTATTTTCTTTTTGACCTGGGAGCTCTGGAATTTGGCTATAATATTCCTGGGAGTTTTCATTTTAGGATCTCTTTCAGGTGACCAGTGGATTCCTTTAATTTCTACTTTGCCCCCTGGTTGTATGATATCTGGACTGTTTTCTTTTATAATTTCTTGAAATATGATGTTAAGGCTCTTGTTTTGATCCTGGCTTTCAGGTAGTCCAAAAATTCTTAAATTATCTCTCTTCAATCTATTTTCCAGGTCAGTTGTTTCTTCTAGGGGATATTTCACATTCCCCCCCTACTTTTTCAGTCTTTGACTTTGTGTTATTGTTTCTTAATGTCTCCTGGAGTCATTGGCTTCCATTTCACCTATTCTAATTTTTAAGGACTTATTTTCTTCAGTATTTTTTGGTACCTCTTTTATCATTTGATGAACCCTGATTTTTAAGAAATTATTTTCTTTAGTATTTGTCTCTTCTACCAAGCTGTTCTCTTTTCATAATTTTTTTAACATGGTTTTAATTTCTTTTCCCAATCTTTTCTCTTGTTCTGATTTGATGTTTACAATACTTTCCCCTCTTTATCTCTTTCTTCAGCTCTTCTAGGAATTCTTGTTGGGTTTGTCTTCAATCTGCATTTTTCTTTGAGGCTTTGCCTGTAGATGGTTTCCAGTAATTGTCTTCTGAGTTCATGTCTTGAGGTTTCCCATCCCCAGAGTAGCTCTTTGTGACTGGGTTCTTCATCAGTCTGCTCACTCTTCCAGCCTGCTTATTGACTTTGCACTTTGTGAGTACCGGGCTCTGCTCACATCTGGGAAGGATATCTGGCCTGAGCTTTTGCTGCTTTGTGGCTCAGTCTAGGGGCCCATAACTTCTTGTTGCTTCTAATGTGCTGTGATCCAGGGAGAGGTCTGGTCACTGCCCTCCTGGTCTGTGCTCAGCTCTTTCCCCGGGGGTAAGGACCCTGCTCTCTTGCAACCACAATGCTCTTCTCTTCCCCAGAACTGGGTAATGAGAGGCAGAGCTGCCATATGGAACCTACCCTCATTTCCACAGAGAGTGGGGGGGGGAGACTCTTAATTGTCAGTTTGGAAAAACTGTGTGGTGGCTGGAGAAAAGCCTGTCCAGGTTAGAGAAGACAGAAAAAAAAAAACCCACCAAGGAATGAGAGAGAGGCCTTCTTTCTGCACAGAGCTGTTGTAACTAAGCTTTATTTGCTAAAGAGGATGAAGAGGATTCCTCCAAGTTTCGCCTGTTGTCCTGAATGAAGAAGGTGGCGTGAAGCCATTCTGAAGCATGAAGACGCCGTAACAGAGAGGGCTGGGCGACTCTGGCTGCAGTCATCTCATGCCAAAATATGGTCCACAGCCTGCCGTGTTATCATTGGTTTTACTGTTCACAAGTCATGTAGTCACTATTTTAACACATCTGGTCATATTAGTAATAATAATTTGGTGAAATAGAATGAGAGCTCTAACTGCTTAAGGAGAAAGAGGCTACAGTTTCAGTAACTGATAAGCCCTGGCTCAGCCTCACTCAGGATGATGAGGACGAATGGGGCGTTGAGCCACGCTGTACAGGGAGGCCAGTGACCCACGTAACTGTGACGTGTGGGGGGCCGTCCTGTCACACAGCACCGGCTCCTAAGAGACTGCCCATCCATGGTGCTCTTCTCTGCCCCCTCCCTTGGCAATCTCATTCATTCCCTGAGCTTCACCTCATTGGAGGGAATGGGGGATGAGAACCCGCCTCCCCAGACCGGCCCTCTCCCTTGGCGCCTCGCCCATCTATGGGGTGTCCCCACGGCGTCCCCACCTGGATGTTCCGTGCTAAGCTGGTCTCTCGGGCACCTTTGGGAGCCTATGGTCTCATGCCCCAAACCAAACTCTCCCCGAGCCCTGCTGTCACCGTCCCCATCTGTGGCCCGTCTGTTCGCGAGGCTCCCATGTTCAGAAGCCAGGCACGGCCTCTGCCTCTGTCCTTGTCCTTTGCTCCCCGCCCTTCTCAGATCAAATCTGTTTTGGCCAAGGGCTGCTGCCTTGGCCTAGGACATCTGTCTGCCCCCTCCTCTCAGTTTCCAAAGCGGCATCCTCAGGCAGGCAGATGCGGCAGGGGAAGATCTCTCCTCCGCTCTGCCCACCTCAATCACTAAGTGCCTACGCAGTGCCAAGCACTGGGCTCAGTGCCTCCATCCTGTCCTTCACACGGGATGTCCCTGTGTACTGACCTGGTCATCACCATCCCCTGATCAAAGAGCCCTTCTGTTTTTGACCATTCAGAGAACATTGAAGCCCAAGAAGGAGGGGGTCCTGGGGAAGCTGGCCACGCAAGGGGAAAGGAAATGAGGCAACCACGAGCTGGCTGCTGCCCGCTCACTGGGCCATCCATGCTAGCCTGGGCCTTGCCACTCAGCATCGAAAGCCCTTCTCCTCCAGGAAGCCCCCCCGATTCCCCTCAGCTCTCACACCACGCTCTTCTGAGGCCTCCCTGCCCTGATCATGTGCTAGAGGGCCACCTCTTCGGCAAGCTCCTCCAGGGCCTGGCCCACGACCCACCATGAGGTGACCGACACCCTCTGCATGGCAGCCCATCCGGGAGGTGACTGCGATTTCTCTGCAGGGCATGAAGGCTGATTCAAGTCCACTCCCACTGGAGCAGGGTCTGCCAGCGGCTACAGCCAGGGTTTCCTGTGACCTCAGAGTATGCCAAGAGGGATGCAGAGATGAAGGAAAGGGATGGTACCCTGCTGCTGGCAATCCACAAGCCTGGGCCCAGGCGGGCAGTGAGGCTCCTGCGTGAGACACCAGGGAGGGAGGCCCGGACCATCCCTGCCACCCCACTGCTGAATGCACCGACCACTGCTGGCCCTCTTCTGCACTGGCTGAGGCTGCCCCCACTGCCCGCAGGCCCCACGCCCCGGCCGGGCCTGGAAATAAGCATCGGATGGGTTCTGTCCAATTCCTGCAGCCACTGTCAGGTGCCGCACCTGGGCTCATGTTCTGGAATGGACAGAAGGGTGCCCGCCCTCAAGTGTGGACGGGGAACTAGGCCTTCCGCGTTGACATCATTTCCTTTCCCTGAGATCTCTGGGGCACGGCTCAGGGACAGGACCCCAAGATGCACAGGCTCAGATGTTTGGAGCCTGACCTCGGAGACCCCGGAGCCCATCCCCCTCATTTTACAGAGGAGGGAATTGGGCAAAGAGCGGTTCACAGCTCAGAAAGCGTGAGGCAGCCCGGGAAGCCCGGTCCTCCTGCCTGCAGGGCCCATTCCTGATCCCCTCTGCCACGATCCCAAGGGGAAATCACACAAAGACCCAAAAGAGAACTGCTTTACTCACGTGGGCCCAGAAGGAGGGTAGGTAGACTTTCTGCAATCTTCTGTCCACTGTTTAAAAAAAAGAAAACATTGTTTCAGAACAGACCTCTCATGGGCTCCCTGAACAGACTGCCAGAATGTAAGCCCTTCCCTTCTACTAAGATCTGCCTGGACAAGTACAGGCAGGTGGTGTAGCTGTTAGAATGCGAGGCCAAAGTCAGGAAGACCCGAGTTCAAATCTCACCTCCCTCACTAGCCATCTGACCCTGGGCAAGTCACTGAGCTGTGGCCTGCTTCAGGTTCCTTATCTACAAAATGGGGATAATAACAGCATTTATCTCCTAGAGTTGTTATGAGGTCCAAGTGGGGCACTACTTGGACTATTGTTCTTTTTTAAAATTTCAGCTAGGCGGTGCAACAGATAGAGCACCAGGCCTGGAATCAGGAAGGCTCATTGTCCTGAGTTCAAATCTGGCCTCAGACACTTTCTGGCTGTGTGACCCTGGGCAAGTCACTCAAGCCTGTTTGCCTCAGTTTCCTCATCTGTCAAATGAGCTGGAGAAGGAAATGGCAAACCCTTCCAATATCTCTGCCAAGAAACCCTCAAACGGGGTCATGAAGAGTTGGACACAACTGAAAAACATGATTTCAAAGACACTTAAGTGATTCTATCAGTGAAACACAAGATGTCAGAACACCCCCTCCCCACCTTCCCCAGATAGGTTGAGCCAACCAGGAAGAAAAGCCAGCAGTCAAGCAAACGAAACTAACAGCATTCACTACTGTTCGGCTTCTTAGAGGGACTCTTGTTGGACCTGTATCTATCGGCATAGGGAACTCTCCAGCAATGGAATTCCCCCTCCCTCTGGGGAGCCAAAGTCACAGCCCGGAGGGGTCAGTGGTGAGGCCTGAAGACAGCTCTTCCTGGCCTGGGGTGGAGGCTGGCTCTCCCAAGCCACTACAGTCCCTGGTCTAGAAGACAGCTCATTCCCAGGACAGGGGAAGCCTGCCGGCCCCACCTGGCTTCCTTCATGAGGCAGTAACAAAAGGACCAAGTGATTTTAATCTTTCCAACTGGACTGACTTGAGAGCTCAGTCCTTTCCCACCTGCCCAGTTTTAGCAGGTAGTGGTGGCCGGGAGAGCAGGTGTTGGGTTCACATCTTTATTCCTAGACTAGATTCCCCCTTAGACCTCTCCGGGCCAAGAATTCTCAGATTCTATAAGCTGCACGAGGAAGCCCCTTCTGCTCTGCCAGAGTCCTCCACAATCACTCCAGTAGATGTCTGCTTTAAGGTTGGCAGAGTGATTTACATGCCCTCCAGATGATGGCCCTGTGAACTACTAAGGACTCCAAGTAGTGTTAGCCCCACTTACAGGTGAAGAAACTGAGGCTGGGTCTCAAGTCTAGTACTTTTCTCCTTTGGTGGGATTCACACCCACCAGGTCCCTTCTAACTAGAATGAGACCCACAAAGAGGCTGCCCACAAGGGGAATCTCAGAAGACACTCTGGAATTCTTGAGGATTCTTGACTAGACTTCCCCACATTCTGCCCTGGACGTTTGAGAGGCAGAGCCCTGGGCTGTGTTCTAGGAGGTGGGCTCAGAGGAGGAATCAGCACTCGTTCAAACAAGGAAGAAAATGCTTCTTAGCACAGCCACCAGTCCAGGACCAAACAAGAAATCTATCCATGTTCTAGTGCCCCTCCACCGAGCTCCCACCATCCAGGTTAGGTGGTGCTGCAGCGGACAGAGAACCAGGCCTGGACTCAGGAAGACTCCTCTTCATGGGTTCAAATCTGACCTCAGACACTTACTAGCTGTGTGACCCTGGGCAAGTTATTTAGCCCTGTTTGCCTCAAAATGAGTTGGAGGAGGAAATGGCAAACTGTTCTAGGATCTTTGCCAAGAAAACCCCAGATGGGGTCATGGTCTGAATGAGAAACAACAAAATCAACATCCCACTTAATTTCCAGTATCAATTCCATCTTATCTTTCACATATTTTGGGCTGAGGTTTTTTTTCCTGAGGGCTCAGAAAAAGCCTTCTATAAATGACAGGACAGCCTTTTCTCAGAACCGCCCTGCTAGGGAGGGCCTGGGGCCCGTGTCCTGCTTACAAATGAGAAAGCTGGGGCTCCCGAAGAAAATGGACACACTCCCCCCACCTGTCTGCACACACTGCACTGCTCCGGTCACTGACAGAACCCTCCAGCAGGACCACGTTCAGCCTATAACACGGACCTCACGCCCAAAGTCTGCCTCCTAAGCACCCTCCCTGGGATGCACTGGACAAGTCCCTCCACAATCCGCCTCTCCTCAACTTTGCCTGGCCCCAGGCCGTCTGCCCTGGTTCTGGGGATTCCCACAAGCTGGCTCACCCACATCCTCCCTTTTGGCCCTCCCTCTGCAGAGAGCCGCTGCAGGAGGGCCACCCCTGGTCCAAGGTCCCAGGAAGGACTGCTGACTGCCCACTCCCTTCTCTCTGCCCCTCCTTCGTTGGAAGTCTGGTGACCGGCCCCTCTTCTAAACCACTGTCTCTCAGTTCCTCCATTCCGGGGTCATTCATTCCCCTCCTGCGTCAGCCATCTACTCCAGGACCAACCTCATCCCCAAAGCGTTCCCCCAAGACTTGGGCTGAGAGGTACCTTCTGACCTTGTGTCGGGGTGTCCTACATTCCACCCTCCCCCCTTACAGGTATAGAGGGAGAGGCCGCTGATTCAAGCTAATAATTACCAAATGCCTACGGTATAAAGGGCGGCACGATGCTGGCTGTGTTTCCACAATGGTTTTTATCTCGGCCCAAGCACTTTACCCATGGCCGGGATCTCCAAAATGCCCAATGAGCTCACAGGACCCTCAGAGACACAGCCTGTCATAAGGGAAGTGCTGCTGATGGGGAAAGGCCCGGGGGTGGAGGACCAGATCTGGCCCAACGCCAGCTAAGGGAGAGGTCAGGGACCAGTAGAGAAGGAAGTGGAGGCATGAAACAGGAGCAGTTATACATTCCTCAGGGGCAGCAGGTGGTGAGGAGGATACAGGCTGGCCCGGCGTCAGGAATCTCAGTGGTCCTGTTCAAATCTGGACTCAGGCACTTCCTAGCTATGTGACCCTGGGGAGGTCACTTCACCCTGCTGCCTCAGTTTCTTCATCTGTTGCATGAGCTGGCGAAATCGATGGCCAACTGCTCCAGTGTCTTTGCCAAGAAAACCTCAGATGGGGTGACGGAGACAGACATGACAGAAAAACGACTGACCACATTCCTTGTCTCTTTTTTTTTTTTTGGCGGGTGGAGGGGTGGGAGACATAATCACAGAACACTTAGCAAATATGCAACTCTGAAGCCTGCGGGAAACAATCCCCAACACCCGCGCCCATTTACACGCCGAGGTGCACAAAGCATTTCCTCCCCTAGAACCATGCAGGGAAGCACTGCTAATACTTCTGTCCCACTTTACAGGGGAGGTCCCATTTGACTGAGGGTCTGCAAGGGAGGCTGTCTTGCCACGGTCAGCCTCACAGGCACCCAAACCTTGTGACTGCCTCATCCAGCGCATCCCAAAGGACTCAGTCTCCCCAGGGCCCCGCCTTCCCTGCTTCACTCTGCAAGGCTGCGCCCATGACCCCAGGGCTTACACATGGAAGGGCCCTTTGAGGTCCTCCCTCCTTTTCCAAGGTCACACAGAAAGTGTGAGAGGCTAGATTAGAACCCAGGTCCTGGAGCCCGAGTTCAGCACCTGGACCCTGGCTCATCCTGCCTTCTCCAATAGGCTAAGGCATGGCAAAGGCCACTCTGTGGTGACCAGAAAGCCCCACCTGCTAGCGGGCACTAGTATTCTGCTTCTTTGGATTAGTCAGGATGGAATTTTCTTCCCAAACTATCTCTGGAGGGTTTTTAGCAAAACTGGAGTGGAAGGTTGAGACCACCTACTTCACCAGCTGCCTGGAACACTCTGGGGCTACCCTTCCTTCCTTCTCTAAGGCTTAACTTCCTTTTTCTACATCAGTCAATAGACACTGAGCATTGGCAGGCAGGCCAGGGCGTTGCCTGAATGACTGTCAGCGCAGGGCAGAGGACAAGCTGCAGACACTAATATTCCGTACAATCCCGCACGTTCTGTGCACCAGAGAGGCCCAGAGCTCTTCAAGGAACACGTCACCGAAGGTGCATTTGACTGTGGGACAATCTGAGCTGCACTTGGGAGGTAGTGAGCTCCCCGTGGTTATGAATCTTCAAGTGGAGTCTGAGGGGCCGGGAAATTGGCAGAAGGGATCCCTAAAGTTGGGTCAGACATCTTCTGGGATCTCTTGCAATTCTGTGCTCCGACTTACCCTTCAAAAGAGAGTGAGGAATACAATAGAGAAAGGAAGGACTGAGGATCGGAGAGAGTAAATGTTGGAGGTGGGAAGTGCCAGGGCTTGGCCCATTCCTTTCTAGTGCTGCCAAAGGCCAGAGGTTCAGCTGCAACGCCTGTGGGTTCAAAGACTTTGAGGTTCCAAAGCATTCTTTCAATTAGCCCCTTGAACTTGAATGTCAGCCAGTTACCAGATACTCCAAGGAGGCCCCAGGGCTGCGGGGCTTATATACAGACCGCAGAGAGGGGCAGAAAAAGCAGGCTGGCCCCCAACTTCACCTCACCCAGGGGCCCGACACAGGAAGGGGAAGTCGGGAGCCCAGCCACTGGCCACAGTGGCCTCAGACCATGGCTGGAGGTCAACATATCGAGTACCAATAATAGCCAGGTAGTGTGAGGAGGCAGGCTCCCCTCCAATGAAGGGGAGAGCCCTGGCACAAGGCAGAGAGATTTGAGTTCAAATCTGGCCTCAGAAAAGCCCAGCTGTGTAAATGCGCAAGTCACCTACCCTCAGCCTGCCTCAGTTTCCTCATCTGCAAGATGAGGCTGGCTGGAATGAGCATGGCTGTGAGGAGGGAATGAGATAATATCTGTAAGTGTCTGCAGACCTTAAGTCACCCTAGAAATAGAAGCAGCCTACTACTGTTGGCAGATCTCAGGGGTGGACATGCCAGGACCACCTTGACAGGAGGGAAGGACGTGACGCAGTGTTGCTG